ACGTGAAATTATTTCCCCATGTCTCCAACCACTGCGAAACGTGTCTAGAAAAACTAAATCTCAAATCTTAGTGCTTTCAGATACATTTTTTTTTAATTTGGTGTCTTCTGTAAAATTTTGCTTTTTCTTAGATGTTAGGCCTCAATCGTTTTGTACACTGTAAAGAAGATTAGACTATGAAGCACGACTCACGAATGCAGTCGTGGTGGCATAGGGACATGTTATTATAACAATACGACAAAAAGCGCATTTGTGTTAGAGAACCCATAGCAATTGGTCAAGGATGCTGCAGAAACATTATTACTGATTCTCAAAAAAAAGATGATATATAAATTTCAGCCTACTATACCTTCATCAGCCATCAAATTCAGCAAGGGAAAGTGCTACACACACAAACAGATCCTAGGTTATTGCAGAGGTTCACACGAGTAACCAGCAGACGAATGGACGGCAGCCACAAGATCGAAAGAAAGATCACTCTTCAGGCCAAGAACTGCTTCATTCGTCCTATACCTCCCAAACTCACTTTCACACAAGTTTTCCACTCATAAAGGCGACCACATGCTAAAACAAACAAAGACCAAGTCTGAGCACCAGAGACCGGACAATAGATTCAGAGGAAGCCAATAAAGAATACGTCTTTCACCTCTACACACACACACACACACACACACAGCACAGAAGAGAACATCAAGAGGGAATATAACACCAAGTGTTGGATGACATACGAACAACCGAGGATGAGGTGAAGAAGCTGCTAAGTGACCTTGATACCTCAAAGGCGATGGGACCGGACAACATCTCCCCATGGGTCCTTAGAGAAGGAGCAGAGATGCTGTGCGTGCCTCTAACCACAATCTTCAACACATCCCTTGAAACTGGGCAACTACCTGAGAAATGGAAGACAGCAAATGTAGTCCCCATATTTAAGAAAGGAAACAGAAACGAGGAGCTAAACTACAGACCTGTGTCTCTGACATGTATTGTGTGCAAAGTCATGGAGAAGATTATCAGGAGGAGAGTGGTGGAACACTTGGAACGGAACAAGATTATAAATGAAAACCAGCATGGGTTCATGGAAGGCAAATCTTGTATCACAAACCTCCTGGAGTTTTATGACAAGGTTACAGAAGTAAGACACGAGAGAGAGGGGTGGGTTGATTGCGTTTTTCTAGACTGCAGGAAGGCCTTTGACACAGTTCCCCACAGAAACTGGAGGATCAGGCGCATGTAACAGGGAGGTCACTGCAATGGATCAGGGAATACCTGACAGGGAGGCAGCAACGAGTCATGGTAGGTGAAGAGGTATCACATTGGGCGACTGTGACGAGCGGGGTCCCACAGGGGTCAGTTCTAGGGCCAGTGCTATTTTTGATATGTGCGAACGACATAATGGAAGGAATAGACTCTGAAGTGTCCCTATTCGCAGATGATGTGAAGTTGATGAGAAGAATTAAATCGGGTGAGGATGAGGCAGGACTGCAAAGAGACCTGCACAGGCTGGACATGTGGTCCAGAAACTGGCTTCTCGAATTCAATCCTGCCAAATGCAAAGTCATGAAGATTGGGGAGGGGCAAAGAAGACCGCAGACAGAGTATAGGCTAGGTGGACAAAGACTACAGACCTCACTCAGGGAGAAAGACCTCGGGGTGACCATAACACCGAGCACGTCACCGGAGGCACACATGAACCAAATAACTGCTGCAGCATACGGGCACCTGGCAAACCTGAGAATAGCGTTCCGATACCTTAATAAGGAATCGTTCAAGACACTGTACACTGTGTATGTTAGGCCCATACTGGAGTATGCAGCACCAGTCTGGAACCCACACCTGGTCAAGCACGTCAAGAAGTTAGAGAAAGTAAAAAGGTTTGCAACAAGGCTAGTCCCAGAGCTCAGGGAAATGTCGTACGAGGAAAGGTTGAGGGAAATCGGACTGACGACACTGGAGGACAGAAGGGTCAGGGAAGACATGATAACGACATACAAGATACTGTGGGGAATAGACAAGGTGGACAGAGATAGGATGTTCCAGAGAGGGGACACAGGAACAAGGGGTCACAACTGGAAGCTGAAGACTCAGACGAGTCACAGGGACGTTAGGAAGTATTTCTTCAGTCATAGAGTCGTCAGGAAGGGAATAGCCTAGCAAGTGAAGTAGTGGAGGCAGGAGCCATACATAGTTTTAAGAAGAGGTATGATAAAGCTCAGGAAGCAGAGAGAGAGAGGACCTAGTAGCAATCAGTGAAGAGGCGGGGCCAGGAGCTGAGTCTCGACCTCTGCAACCACAATTAGGTGAGTACAATTAGGTGAGTACACACACACACATACACACACACATATCGGGAGGAAACGGAGATGGATCTATGCCAGGACATCATATCGAGCTGGATAATCTACAGGCTGCTGACTGCTTTGCAAGTATTCATCTATGCGTGGTTGTTGGGTGTGGGTTTTGGTTTCCAATTAACCACCAAGCTGATTGTGAGCGGTTCAACTCTCCTAGTATGATAAAGAATAGGTTATTCAGTACTCAATAATGAATAGCACTTGGTAATTTATAGAACAAGGCAAGACAGGATTCTATAAGACTAGGTAGAAATAGATACAAAATAGCAGGTAGGTGTGGGTCAAGTCACAGAAGGGTGTGGCCAGGTAAGCCAGGTAAGGGAGCACTGTGAACTCCAAAATCACACTCGTACACCACAATACACAATTCAACTTAATAAACCCACATATAGCTCCACACACACACACACACACACACGATTACAACCACATATTCTCACATATACAGACTCACACGCACACTCTCCTCCCTGCACCTTCCCCCACCAATCCCCCACTCCTTCACCTGATCCCCCATCTCTCACCCTCCCTCTCCCCTTACCACTCCCTCTCTACCCCTCTCCATCTCCCATTTTCCCTCTTTGCTTCTCCCTCCTCCTCACTCCCCATATTCCCCCCTCATTCCCCCTCCCCATCCTTCTCCCATTTAGCCACTGTCTACAGCTACCTCCTCTTCCTCCCCACACTCGGACATACACACCACAAAACAAACACACACAATTGCATAAGTTTTTTCATTCTGTGGCAGCCAAAAAAAAAAATGGGTTGCCAAAGAGCAGGAAGGAAAATCAAGGGTCTGGAGGATGAATATGCAAAGAAAGATTGGGCAGCAGAACTCATGAAAAAAGAACATGAATGGGGAAAGAAGCTAGAAGTACTTAGCATGAGAATGGAAGCGAGGATATATGCAGAAAGCAAGAAGTGGGAGATGCAAGTCACAGCAGCAGAGACTGGGATACAGAGATTAGAAGAGGAACTGAAAAATCTGAAATAGCCTAAAGAACTAAAGAACAATTTGGGAATGATATCATAGACTGTTACCTCAGTCACAAACAAGGACTCTGTAGGGAATGAAGGAGTGAAACTGCATGCAGAAGCCCCATCAGACCATTGTGGAGCCCGAGAAAAAGAGGGAAACACATCAGGAGCAATCAAGGGGACCGTAGAAAACGAAAGAACTGAGCTGTATGTGGAGGCCCTAACAGACCACAGCAGAGCCCAGGGAAAGCTGAAAAGGAAAAACGACAGGCCACTGAGCCCAAGGACAACAGAGAGTGAAGAAAGAGAAGAAAGGGAAGCTGCAATGGAGGAAATTAAACCGAATCAAGGGATATATAGGGATATGCAGTGGGAGAATGAAAGGGAGAGGTCAGTCTTTGTTTATGGGCTTCAGGAAGTTGAAGGGGAAACTCAAGAAGCAATAAGGCAGGGGGAGAAAAATTCAATCGAGAGCATCATAAAGGCAATAGGAGAAGACGACATGACCCAGTTGGCAAATTTTTGGAGAACCCAGCCAGTGAAAGTGACTTTCAAGGCAGAATCGACTCAGAACAGGATCCTGCAGGAGAAAGCAAGACTAAGAGACATGCCGGCATACCAGAAGGTGTATCTCGACTGTGACAGAACACAAGAAGAAAGGCAGAAAATGAGAGAGATGGTACAAAGATGAAAGGAGGAAAGAGAGGTGAAGATGGAGATGGACAGGAGAACCCAGACTCAGGAGGAAGATCAAATACAGGCTCCCTCACAACCACCTACAGAAGCCCTTCAACCAGGACAACCCCAATGCAACCAAATATTCTAACCCAAAACACACATGCCATATGCAGTGCCCCCACCCACCTCATTACAAACTCCACCCCCACAGCAACTGTCGTGGGGTTCGAAAGGA